TGTGTAGCGTTTATGTACGTATGTATGTAATATAAAAAAGGTCCTTTTGACAAAGGCTTAAATGTGACATTAAACTGCATTATTAATGTCTTGAGTTGTATTCGAAGTATCAATGTAAAAAGTTGTTTTATATGGGAACTATAAATGTATTGTATGTGTATTACATCCTCAACTAAAGCCTTAATTTATAAGACCTTTTCCAATAAAAATGCGAAAAATAATATTACTACGTTTAAGAACGTGTAGCAAATGTAGTAAAGCAAACATCTTCCGACACACTTTATACTTCAATCATCTGTGTATTATATGTCTTTTAAAAGAAGACAGCTAAAGTCATAATAATTGTCCATTCCATTACTATTTCTTCAGACTAGCAACATTGGAGTGGAGTGAACAGCTGCCACAATTTCAGCTATTTTCTTTCGTGAAACTTATAATTATTCTGTTAGACTGTGTACATACTGAAATATGTTAGGAGAAACAATCAATGTTACCTCATTATCAAAGGTTGCTTGATTGAAATTTAGAGCATGTTATCTACTATGCTACAGTATGTACACTCAGCAAGCATTATTTATGCCTCATTCTTAATTCACTTTTACTTATACTAAACATTTTTCATTTTAAATATGATGACATACCTTTAATTCACTTTTAAATTTATGTTGAGTACAAATATGAACAATGTATGTTAATTTAATATCTGTTGTATAAATTTGAAAGCATATGGCACACATGTCCTACCTTTCTATATTTCTAAGCTTTTATCTTTCAAATATAAAAAAATAGCATGTTCACTAGCGGAGGAATATTTGTTAATCAACATCACACTGTTCTTTTCATTGAGACTATTCATAGAGAGCATGTAATATCTATGAAATTAATGTTTTAAACATTAGTAATCAATGTGAACAAAATGTATTATAATATAAAAGTTGTAGACGTAAAAATAAAATATAAGTAACTTTAGCATAAAAAAGAGACTGAAGGAATTGTTGAGGGTTCTGTCTCCATGCAACTCATTCATAAAGAAAGTTGTAATGCAGAGAATAAGACCGAGTTTAGCGTCGGCAAATTTTCTATGGCAACAGTGTAGGTTTGTAGATAAAGATGGAAAAACGTTTGAAATAACCTTTGAAATCAGTTGAAGCAATTTTTCAGGGAAAATATTATATCTTTTTAAGAAGAAATGATATCCACACACATGAAAACCTTCAAAAAATGGTATGCATCAGGGAGATTCCGCCACAGAAGTATGTGGTTGTTAATGAGCATGTGAAGTGAGAAGAACATAATGGTGTCTTGTAAAATTTCACTCTGCACCAAGAGCTTTAAAATATGTTAGGACTATGTATGATAATCAGAGTGAAGGTACTCTGGAAGACTTTAAAAGTCGTGCAAAAAATAAAAGAAGAAATAACTATACTTAGTTAAAGAGGTTTGTTGTGCGTTGAGCGGTAGAGAAGAATATGTAAAAGTATATGAAATGTATATGAATCATAGATTTAGATAATTACATGAAAAAATCGTTTGGATGGTAAAATGAACATAAAAGCAAATATTAAAGTGTATGCGAATACGACATAATTGGTAATACAACAATAACCGTTTTTCTGTTGACATGAGATAGATTTAACATGATGGCTAGACAAATCATGTGTCTAATAGAGAAGAAACATGTAAAGAGATTCAAAAGTAAATGCAAATTTCTGTTTAGAAAAACAGAGTGGGATAAATATATAAAAATACAACGAAAAGTACCCAAAATTGGTGTAATTACAGTATGCAACACATACCACTTTGTATGTGGATCTAAGAACAAACCAAAGAAGAAATACGTCGATTAGCATTGAAAGTTGTCGGTTAGTGCCAGATCTTATGTAACAAGAAAAGAAATGGAAAAATTTAACGAACAACATTCTTTCACCAATAATCTGTGATACACAAACAAATTTGAGTCATTATGCGTTGCTTGGAGACATAATATCTAAAACAAATAAAACAAGACAAAACATTCATTGTATACAGTGTACCCATTGATCACACTAAAATACATTACGTTTCATTTCATTATGAAGATCAATATAAATTAGTTCTATAAATGTGAAAATGGTAGATTAAAAAAGTCATAATATTCTTTAAAATAAATTGTGCTACGTTTTCCAGTTTGTGGGCATATTTTGCACCATATGTTTATCCTTACAGAGTCTAACATATATTTTGATTATTACTTTTACAATGCAGTCTCAGTTTCTATGAGAAATAATTTAGGGCCCTTAATTGATAATTAGACTGCAGCAGCGCAACAATCTGTAAAACTGTATCTGTTACATGCAACAATAGAGATACGATATAAGATATAAATGTTTAAATGTTCTTCAATGAATTCCATTTAGAACACTGTTATTCAGCACATAGTCAAAATCAAATAAATATTAACATACGCGTAA